TTCGCATAAATGACCACACGTCGCGATCACTTCGTTGCAAAGCTATACATGGGACATGAATGACATGAAGTTATGATTTGATTTATAAACAAAGCTGAAAGCAAAGAATCAAGGGTTTATATATGAATACTCAAGTTGAATACCGTATACTCACTCTATCGCAACCTCCACTGACGGGAAATTTATTAGGTTCAAGAATGAACACAACCTCATCAGGGTGGTTTTGACATCGTAGTGGGAGCGCTCTTCCAATCTGATTCTCTTTCAACAAGAATTGCTCAATCTTTCTCCAAATTTCGCTTCCAGAACTCAGCACATCCATGTTTCCAATCATGAATAGTCCTTTTCTGGCACGTGAAATGGCAGCGACATCTTGACTGTCAGTCTTTGAAGAGCTGCTACTGCCTTTCAACTTGACCCTCGTCATAAGTGACAGAAGGATAATATCACTCTCCTCGCCTTCGTAATCCTCGGTGGATGTGATTCGAACCTTTGCACACGTTGGGAAGCTGCTGGTGATGAACTAAAACAAGCGTGAAATATAATACCTTTCAATCCTAAATTTCATCGATTCGTTCACTGTAAAGTGCCTTTCTAGAAGTTGAGAGCGATTTGCGCAATATTCTTCCAAGAATGATGCGACAATGTAAATTTAAAGAGTTTACAAGAAGTCCAGAAAACATACTTTCATGCACTATAAAGACAAAAATGAACTTCTTTGGAAATAACTCGAAGATTTGCAAAAGTTCCATCACAGACGTACCTTCTTGAAGATGTGTAGCTGTTCTGAACACGTCGTCAGAATAAGAATTTGTTCATGCTGGTATCCTTGCAAGAGAAGGTACCTGCAAAAAGCCAATAAAAACTCGGCTTCCAGCACCATTTTCGTCTTGTTCTCCAGGCCTTCATCCTGAAAATAAAAAACATAGGTTACGTCAAATTGTTGAATCAGGTTTTGATAAAGTTCTGCACGTGGAGCACTTTTCAAGAAGTTTCAAGATCAAATATTTTTTGAAATACATAATTCATTATACTCACTAAAACCTCCTTGGAGTTGCGTGTGACGAAAAATACGTTTTTGGCAAGACCAAAAATATCATCGTCAATCGCGACACTTGAATGGTCTTGCAGATCTTCATAAACATGCAGCTTGAGCATATTAGAAATATTTGGTTGCATCCTGCGCTGTTGGGTCAGACGCTCGTGAGGCATATGGTTCTTCAACATTCTTTCAAACATTGAAACATCTATTCCAAAGTTCGTACCAAGTTGGTATGCGGTGGTTGATGGCCTCAGCAGTTGATGATCTCCTTTAATGAAGAAGTTTGAAATAGGTATAGAGTATACTGTATTGACATTCCTCATTGACTTGATCCAGCTACCGTATTTTCACGGCGCATTTCTCATCATCTTCAAGCACAAAACTTTTGGTGCGTCCTGAATTTGAAATTTCAGATTTGTGTACAAACCATCAGTTAGTGGAATTTGAATAGAATTTCTGTCATTCAACGATCACTACCTGCGTACATACTTATGAAAGAAAAATTTACGCGTATTAGAGGAACATAAAGTCTTCACCGATCAGGATCAGATGCTCGCAATCAGGAGATAGACAGCACACAATGTGCGATTCCGAAACTTCCGCAGCTTCTTCGACGACCACTGCATTCAAAGAAACCCACCAGGAGATGAGCAAGTTGATTTCGTTCAACAAAGATTTCTCATAATCCATTGCAAAAAAACATTTAAAACTTAATAAATACTGCACATATAAAAAACAGATTCATGACGACGATCTGAAAGTCACTCACCAACTTTTGCCCGAATGTTTTGTACAAGAGAAAGGCATTGCACTGCTGCAGTTGTCGTCATCCCAACGACGTCCAAACACCGGCTATGACGTATTAAAGCCGCATTCTGTGCTTCCTTGAATCTTTCAACCATTATCTTGTACTCCTCCATATCGGCATTAATCTTTTTGCTCAAGTTTCGAAGAATGATGTAAACCCAATATCGATAAATCAGCCAGCGGGATTTTGGCTGTCGAGCATTGATCCAATTTTCTTCGAATCCAACTATTTTCTCGGGTGGCTTTACAAGTTCCACGTATGATGAAATTTTCCAAAATCTGGAATCTGCTTGCAATTTCGTCTTTTGCCTTTTCGCGTCTTGAAGCCGCAATTCTGCTTTCATTAACTGACAAAAATAATAAAATGCATCTAATGACCTCCGTGCTCAGACTACGCTCGACAAGAATTTTTAGATCTATCAATTTTCGGATCAAACAAATCAATTTTGTTTTCGTGACACCAAGTGTACAAGCAAGATTTAAAAATCAAACCTAGAAGCTTCTATAAACCCTTGGAGCAACAGGTTCACATCTGCTTATGTACATCGAGATGAAGACCCAGATCATAAAAGGAAATTTTGCAATTCAAATTTCCGCAGCGGAAAATCACTAGGGTAATCGTAACTGTGCTTCTTCAAAGCATTTTATGATGACACCTGACTTGCGATTCCGAACGTTCAATCCACTACAGTATTTATACCCGCCCTTCAGAAATTGGGATAAGTTTAGCATACCGGAATTGTGACTCACTTCGTGAAATGTGGTGCCATCTTCCGGGTCTTCAACAAAGTCTTTCAGTTTCTCAGAAAGTATTTTCACTTCCTCCTCAGCGTTTTCCACAGCTTGCTCTGCACTCATGATGCTAATCTCAAAGTGACGCTGGATGCATTCACTTTTCCGTTCAATAGTTGACTCGGGGACTTCAGATTTGATGTCGTAAATGGATTCGATATTTCGCCTTTGTGCCTCAGCCGAAGTTTCGCCCCCAATGTTGAAGTCTAGTAAGTCGGTCGTTCCGACGATTTCATCACCAATTCCTGGCGTATTGCTCTCTCCGTCCTTGTCCAGAGAAACGACGTTCTTTCCTTCAAAGCGCGCAAGTTCTCGTTCCTCTTCGATAATTTGCTCCATAAAATCTTCTGAGAAAATTTTGGGAAACTGATTGAAACCTAGCCAATTGGCAAGGCTGAAATCCGTGGTAAAAGCATCAGGAATATGTAATCCGAATTGGCGCAGAGCATCCACAGTAAGGATCCCAGCTCCAGAAGTAATGCCTGCGATTCCATAACGAGATGTAAGCGATTTTTTTTTTTTTCGTAAGTCAGTCATGTTCAAGTCTAATCAGATCAGACTGAAGCCTATGTTTCACAAGAAAAAAATAGCATCGGAATCAAAAAATAATTTTACATCCCTTATTACAAGAAAATACACCCCTCTGACTATCCCACTCATGCAAAGTATTTACTGTACAATGATTCTGACTTAATGGAGGCCATGCATGATGTAATTTTTGGATGATGAACTTGCCATAGACTTTGTTGACATATAATTCTGCTTCGGATAATGGACAGCATGGAAATTGATTTTAATGGAAAGAAGCTAAATTCCTGTTGTAAATGAACTTCCAGCACAGATTCATTTGATAATTCATTCAAGACTTAATAGAACGAAATTTCCATGGATCACCAGAGCTAAATAATTTTCCATGAGGTTTTTGAATCGCAATGTATCGCATCACATATTTCAGGGAATTCATGGGACAACAGCGGCCGAATGCTTGTTCCTAACTTTACACTACAGTGCTCGGTTACTAGACTGGCCATCAACTCCATTGTACTAGATTAACTGACCTTTTTTCAGAATCTCAAGTTCATTCAAAGAGCTCTGCATAGCCAGCAACTGACTCCAAATGTCACGACTAACACGGAATGCATTTCCTTCTGAGTTCAGCACAGCATTTCGTACAGTGAATGGCTCAAGCGAGGCGCTTGCTGGAAATTTTCCGCCAATCCGAAGGATTTTTTGAGTGTAACTTCTGACACCATCCAAAAACCGGTCCAGGTTGTGGTTCGTGAAACATAAAATCAATATTGGACCATCCTCATCTATCTTGCGCTTGCTGGAAATTTTCCGCCAATCCGAAGGATTTTTTGAGTGTAACTTCTGACACCATCCAAAAACCGGTCCAGGTTGTGGTTCGTGAAACATAAAATCAATATTGGACCATCCTCATCTATCTGGAATTCTTGTCGACGGTGAAGAATCGTCTGAACCAACTTCAAGCCAAGGTAGTTTTTACCAGTTCCCGGTGGACCTACAGCATGCATACAAGCCAAGCAGATTTTCAGATCTACAAATCAAGGCATCCAACACTAATCGCAAAAACATTGTACAGTACAGTGGAACGTGGCTGCTCCCGATTTGAATTATCGGGTTATTTGATGAATTGTGCCCGATCAATGCGATGCATTGAATTCTGGATTCATGAATTTGTTTATCGTGAAACAAAATAGTGAAAATAAAGCAATGAACTTTGGTCATCCAAAATTATCTGGTGAAAAGCAACATGCTAGTACAGAATAGGAGGGCCGTCCCATTTATGATTGACCTTGGGTATTTCTAGACGAGGTGCCACTTTGAAAAAACCTAACTTTTAGCATTTATTGTTATGTTAGCATTTAAAGTTTTCGTTTATTAACTTGCAGTAAATCTAAAAACTTTCAAAAAAATCCAAGAACTTTAAATTTGGATGAGCTAAACGGTAGATTTTTTTTCGAAGGGGTACCTAGTCTAGAAATACCCAAGGTCAATCAGAAATGGGACAACCCTGAACCCTGGTGTATTTTATTACCAGCGGTAACTCTTTCTTCTTTTTTTTGTTCGGGTAACAGCTTCACTTCAGTGGTACACGAAAATTTTCGCTCGGCTAGCTTTAGACGCCGAAGCTAGAGGTCACTCGAACAAAAAGTAAAACTGTCTTGAGAGAAATAACTTTTCAAGACTAGAATTAGGGTGGGGGGCGGAAGATTTCAACAGTGAGAATTTCGGCGAATAGGGAAAAGAATCACACTACTAAAACCGTTTTATTACTCGACGCATAAGAAAACAATACGCCTCAGGTAATTGACTACAGCCTACACTACCACCACACAACAATTATTTTAGGTATTTTTTCGGTGTTTGATTACCGGCGTGACAGCGCGATTCTAAAATATGGCCCTAGAAGGCCTAGATACTTTCATACAACCTTAAACCAACAATATCCCGAGACACTACAAAATGCAGGACTCATCTTGGTCGGCAAAAAGTAATACAACAAAATCATTGTTTTGATTTTTCGGTAGTTATAAGGAGGTAAGAGTTTGTTGAAAAATAAAAAGAAGGTACTGTAAAAAGAAACAGATTGGTATAAATAAACATTAGTTATGACAAGATTCTCCAGAAAGGAAGTTTTTTTTTATTACATGAATCAGGCCATTCATACTTTCAATTCAAACCCGGAATTTTCTGGACAAATTTGCGTACAGAATAGTATTTGAGATAAATTACGAAATGTTCTGACAAAATGACAAATATCTCACTCCAGCCCAGTTACTAAAAATCTTTAACAACAATTCGTTCATTTTAAGAATAGCGAGGTAAACTTCAGAAAAATTACGGAAATTCTGCAGGAACGAGATTTGCTTAACATCGCGTCTAAAGAGTTTTGGTCAGGACCTTGAAAATATTTCGTTACAGTGGAAATTAGTCCTACCAGTATTCATTGCAATAGATTTCGACCTTTACTTAGGTTGCCATAGCTCTCTGAAAATTTCACAAAAAAATAGACTCATCAACTTCAATTGTTCAGTTCTGGTAAAAGTTATAAAATGTCATTAAAAATTATCGATTCCAACCAGGAAGATGCGCTCTTTTTGGGTCAAATTAATCTTCCTACAAAATGGTCACAGAAAATTACTTTTGACACTGAATCGTTTACTAACCTTGAATGAGGGCGAATTCGCGACAAAGACCAGCTTTGAATGCACGGAACTGAGCTTTGTCCAGCCCAAGTTCCTCTGGTTCCGGCCAGTCATCCGAAAATGGATTCCCCACAAATTGCTTGCCACCGAATTCCATTGGAAAAACTTGCGAATCTTCGCCCTCTCGCTCCAAGATGTACTTTGGCAGAGACGTGCTCTTCTCAGCGTACACAATGTACTTCTTCAGTGGATAATTCTCCAAATGAATACGCTGCAGAGCTGACAGTACTTGCCGATATGCTTCGAAAAAAGCACAAGTTTCCACGATCAGATATTCGGGGTTAGTCGTCCATACATTCGAATCGAATCGACTGTTTTCAGGTCGTATTCTTATGAAACCCCGCTTCAAATCTTCAAACTTTTGTTCCGCAACGGATGCAAGCAACATGCTCTTGAAGTTATCATTGGTTAGGCATAACAAGGACCCATACATCAACCGCTTCCTGATTTCCAATGGTGCTTGACTGGGATCCCTCAATGAAATTTTCAGTTGAAGAGTGAATCCAATTGTTTCGTGAAAAATGCCAGTAATGACTCCTTTTCCGTAGATACCAAAGTTCTCAAATGAATTGCGACACGGGGCGAAATCATCGCCAACGTTTTCGTTGTGTTTCATCATTATCTGAGCAACTCCTTCCCGCAAGGTTCTCACGAAGTCTTCTTTCATCAAGCGGAATTGCACGTCAAGGTAATGATCGGTATTCAAATATCGCCCACACAAAATATTCGCACGCAAGAAGGGCTCCACTTCACTCAAGATATCATTCAATGACGGAAGAATAGGTAAAGAGCGAAAATTTTCAGGTGGTTCGACCAAGTGGCTTCTGCCATGACGTAAAATTCCTTTCGTTTTGGGGCCTT